TTTAATTTTATTAATTTTTTAAGTATATTTTTGTCTTTTTAAAATTTTGAATTTTTATATTATAATAATTTTTTTACTTCTTTTATTTATTAATTTTTTTAATGTTTTATAGCATTATTAGAATCTTATAATTTTAATCTCTATAATTTTGTCTTACTTTTAATTTTATAAATATAATTTGAATTATTTATTTTATACATAAATTACTACTTTTAAAAAAAAAATTATATGTTTATATAAGAGAATGTGATATGTATAAAATATAAATTTTAAAGAGTTATTCATTTATTTGATATTTATCGAACTTTTGAAAGAAATTAGTTCTCATGTGTGATAAAAATAACTCCTTAATAATGAATTAATTTTTTTAAAAAATTAATTTTTAATAAAATAAAATTTGCAGCATATATGTTTACCTTTTGTGCTTTCTATTTATGTATACATTGATTAAAAAAATTAAAATAGTAAAGATTGTATACATTGTTTAAAAAAATCAAAACGGGAAAGATTGGAAGATTTATATTCTATTTAGAATTTTTATTATAAAATATGTTTTGAAATAAATTATCATCTAAAATATTATATAAGATATTAAAAACATGTTTCTATTATAAATAATTTAAACTTGATGTTTATACAATTTAACATATTTATTTTTATGTTCTTATTAGCATTAAATTATTAAAAATATATTTTTAGGATTATAATTATAATCAAACATTTAAATTTTTTTATGATAGATAAATAAGTCATATTTATGACATGTATTTTAAAAAAAGTTGGGTTCAAACTACTAAATTATAATATAACATAGTATGATCTAACTTGTTTTCATCCTTAATCATAATCATAGATATAAAAATTTGTAAAAAATAATTATGAAATATATTTATATTTTTAAAATTTATATATAAAATTTTTAATGTTATAAATATATAAATAATTATTATCCCACTATTTAAAATTTATGGATTCGTCACTATAAATTTCTCGAGTTGACAAGGGAAAACATAAAAAAAAAATGAAAAAAATCATATTAATACATATAAACAGGTGAGAAAAAAACCAAAAAACATTATAGTTTAAATGAGAAATAAAAAATTCAAACGAGAGAATAACAAATGGGAAAGTACAAAAACGAATAAAAAGTGAGTGAAAAATATTTACACAGACAAAAAATAGTGAAGAATATTAAACAAATGGAAAAAGCTTTTAAATGAACAGAAAAAAGTTATGCAAATGAGGGAAAAAAACAAATAAAATAAATATGCAAATAGGTGGCAAAATAAGCTAAAAGAATTTTGAAATTAATAAAGAAGTTATGTAAATACTTTTAAAAAAATTAAAAATAGACAAAAACAATGGTAAAAGCTATCATGCAAATGAATAAACTTTTTATATAAATAATAAATATTTTACTAATAGTTATTTTTTATTTTTTATTAAACAACAACAGTAGTAATATTTTTTTTACAGCATAGTAGTATGTATTGTTAGATTGTAACATATTGTTTTATTATATTTAATGCATATAATTATATTATTATAATATAATTTAAGAATGATTAACGTTTCCTTAAAAACAATAGTAAAAGAAAGTAGTATGATGCGATACTGTTAAAAAGTAAGATAAAATAATTCAATTATAATTATAAATTATATCACATATATTCACAATGTATCCAAAACATATATTTTATATAAATTAATTTTTTAATATAGTTTTACGTTATTTTTGGTAGAGAATAATAGCTCACTTCCACTGAATGAGTAACAGCTGTGCAGGTGCATGATACCTCTTCCGCAGAGAACTTCATCTCCCCAGCTATTAATTAATAAATTATTGCCTCTTAACTAAGATATTTTCTTCTCTCTCTACCACGTTGCCGTTTTTATAGTACCCCATGCCCTTCCGCTAACCAAAACTCTCGAGAAAACGCTGATTAGTGATTCCTCTCTAATCTATGAATCATTCAAAATGAACAAACGTTGCGTCCTTTTCTCCTTCTCTTCTCCGTCGGATCGCCGTCCTCCTCCGCTTCTTGCCGGTAAGAACTTGGTTCTCTATTTCCCTATTTTTTCGCCGGCGTTTTGAACTGAACTTGTAGTTTTGCATATTGTGAACAGTGTGATGGTTAGTTTGTGACCTAACATGGAGGCGAGGAAGCCAAAGAATAGAAACGGATGCGGATACGGCCTTTTCTTTTCATTAGGTACGATTCAAATTTATCTTCGTATATATACACATTGATTGGCCTACTTTTCACGTATACGCGCGTGATTCATTATCTGAATATATGTTTTTGCCCCCTATTTTGAGTTTGGAGGTATTGTACATGTTTTTGGCTTTCACTCTTCTTATTATGACTTGCGAGAAATCGAAATGGAATCTGTGGAAATGAGCATTTGCTGATTCGTTTTTTTCTTTCCCCAATTTATGCTGATTGCAAGTTGCATCTGGTGCAATATTGTTTTTCATGCAAGTTGCTTTACCTTTTTAGCATTAATTGATTTTCAATTTATTTTGCTGTATCAAGCCTTAGTTGATCCGTTTAGCTAAGTTAATGGCGATGTTTGGATCAATAAATAATTAACACTTGATCTATGTTGGTAATGGTTCCGTATCGTGTATCATATAAATATTATAATGAATCCGTTCACAATTTTGGAGATATCTCTTTTATTGTGAGAAAACCTTTTGAATTATACGTGTGAGGGCGTACACATTGTTCATTCTAATCAAGTGTGTGTCTAGTTTAACATATTTAGAGAAGTGAGAGAACTTTTTAAAAATAAGGGGTTATTTGGCCATATTTGAAATTGGTCTACAAGCAATATGCTAAAATGAGCTTTATGTACATACCTTTTACGGAAACTTCTCCAAAAGTTAAAAATATGTAAATTGTTTTTAGTTTATGAGAGAAGTTCAATGCATTTTATCTTCTTAGATCTTCCTTCTATAAGTATTTATGAAAATATTTACAAAAATAAGGCCTTATTCCTTTTATAAGGAAGTTGTTCCTAAAATTTCTCGAAGAACTCAATTCACTCTAATGTGAAAGTAGATATAGTTTTAGAGATTTTTTCAACATTCAATTATACAGATAATCAATTATTTTTGTATTAATTAATTATGTTAAGTTTTATGTTTATAAAGTTATTTAAAAAATGGTTATGAAGAATTTTTGTCTTGATTGTCTGAAATAAGAAAAGAATTATTATAAAGTTATAAAAAAGTGTGAAATTATGTGTAATAATTATTTCTATATTAAAATTTTCAATTATTGGAAATAAAATAAGAAAACAAAAGGTAACCGAAAAATATTTTGGTAACTTAATCATAATCTTCAAAATTATTTATTGTTTTTATTTTATCATTTGATTATAATTTTGGAATTTGGATCCGTTCATTTGCTTTATAGTATGAAACGGTCATGTTAAAGAGAGGAAGACATTTATCAAATATAATCAGTGGTTTCTACAATAAATCATGTTCGGTCCTTGTTTGATAAATTTCGCATCTTTCTCTCTTGAACACTATCAGATCATGTTACTGGATAACATGAGAGGATTTAATTTCATAATCTTGAAAATAAACACATCCATAAATTCTCATCACTATTATGTTAAAGCCTTATTTCAACATTAGTATTTTAGATTGCATTTAACATGTGAAGTTAAATATGTAAATTTTATGATTATAATTATTTATCATAGAAAATGAAAAAAATATTCATATCATTTAATTAAAATATATGTATATATAACGAATTTGATAAAATTTAATAAATGTTCAGAGAAGAACATTAAATATATCTAAATATAATAATTGTCAACATAATAAATTGAAATGATTAAAAATTAATAATAATTATATGTTTTAATATGTTTCAAGACATGATCAATGTGGTTAATATTTTAAAATGAAATATATTGACACTTAATTAGGTATAAAAATAAAAGAATTTAAGTCACCTAAGAGGTAAAAGAATTTAAATCAATATACTATTTTATTTAAAATAGATAATTATTTATCTCTAAAAAACTAGAGAAAATTCCTATGAAATCGGGAACAAAAGAGATGAATTAGTTTAAATCAGAGATGAAAGAATCAAGGAAGATTTGAAAGAAGAATGAAGAACGCTTGCACGGGGGGACAATCTAAATGAAATTGAATGTCTGAGAGTGAAGCTCTTATAAAAGCTCTTATAAACAAGAAAACTATTATAATTTATCTATGAAGTCCGGATACTTCAAAAACAGAAAAGTATCGATGTCGTATCATTGTCAAATACCGGTACTCCTCAGATACTGTATCCAAAAAGTATCCAAATTTATTATTATTATTATTATTTTTTTTTTTTTTAACTCTTTCTACTGAAAAGCTTGCCAAAAGTTTCTTGTGCAACCATATTCTTTCTCATGCTTGAGAGAAATTAGAGTACATAATCCTCTATTCATTCTTTGAAGAAAACCAAAATAGATCCAAAATGGGTAGAATATTTGGTCTGTGTGTATTTGAACCTTAGACTTTTTTCTATGATGAAGGGTATAAAAAGGAGAGGCAAGGTTGTGGCACATTAGTGGAGATATTCATCATCCAATTGCTAATGATGCTAGACTTCTTGAATTGACACAATTGTTTCTGGGATTTTTTTGAGGAAATGTCAATGGAGAATCATATTTGGTTAGACAATGTGTGGTTGGTAAGTAAGGATTGATTTATTTATTTTTATCAAGGTATGGAATGTATCATCCAATATTCTATATGATTCCATGAGATCTAGTTTCATTCAAGTAACATATTCTAACAAATTGAAAGGATCTTTAAATCAATCCAAGGATCATTTTGATTCCATTAGGAATAAGGATCCAAAATATCACACATTGATCAATCAAAGAGAAATTTAACAACTAAAAGAAATATCAATCCTTTGTCAGGATTTTTCCTTTCTTCAAATGAAACTAACAAAGATAGAATTATAACGATTCCCTAAAATCTTTTCTGGATATTCTTCAATGTGTCAACTATTGATGGAACGTGAGAAGCAGTTGCTTTTGGAAGAAATCCAAGAATTTCTTGGGAATCCTGCAAGAGCCATTGGTTCTTTTTTCTCTAAATGCTTCTAAATGATGGTAAGGGGGAGAGGAAAACGATACAAATAGCATTAGACAATATTTTAGTAATGAAGCTTTTGAGTCCTAGGCTATATAGAGCTCATTTGTTTTAAGTTCTATCTGATATGCTTTTATTGATATAGTGAACTAAAATTGGTTATGGTATGAGAGACACTGCATTCTATATGTTTTTTTTTCATGATCACAAATATCCTTTTGGTGAATTGTGCTCATCATAGTTATGAATTAATGAGAAATAATAAATGTCTATTTCTTTACCAATATTCTACATCTACATAAGATTTTCTATAATTTTTTAGTAAATTATCTGGACGAATCGTATCCTAAATTTCAAAAAGTTGTGGTGTCTCTGAATCCGGATCGCATCATACCCATTTCGTATTAAGTATCCGGGCTTCATAGTAATTTATAGGTATTGAGGATTGGATTAAATCTGTGGTGACTCATTGGATTCGTTCGACTATATTTTATAAATAAAAAAACTGTTTATAATCTTGTTCTCATGATAGTGTTGGTCAAAATAGTTTATAATTAAAATTTTAATCCATGTAAATGTGACGAATAATCAATTTTTATATATGATTATATAATTTTATAAATAAAAATTACTTTATTATATTCTTTAATGAATCAAATTAAAATAAAATATCATTTAATTTAATTTAAATATGAAGACAATAGTATAATTGTAACAAATAAATTTTTAAATTTTAAAGATAATTAAAGAAATGTTAGCATCATAACCTATTGTGAAATCTATTGATTAAACGTACACTCATTTTTCATGCAAGTGGACATATTTGTTAGCCTCTTAACAATATTACCTATGCTCATTGGTGGAAAAAATAATCCCTAATATAACTACTCCTTAATCCATCTAGTTTCATGAGTGTTTTTTTTATATAAAATTTAAATTTATGACATTATTAATTACTTTAACAGTCTTGAAGAATTAGTTATTCTTTTATTGTATAAAAGACTAGGGGGAGTAACCTTTTAAATTTGAATTTAAAAATAATAACATACTCGTTAAATTATTGAAAAATTTGTAAAATTTTAAAAAACTAATCACCCTCTCATAAGTTGAGAGTGAAAATTACTATGTAACAAGGTAAGATAGAGAATAGCCAACAAGGGGTGACATGGTTGGTAGATAGTCTTGCCCGTTAAGCATGTGGTCATGAATTTGATCTCTGGTTAGTGTGTTTGGAAAAACATTTGTTGAGATCAATCCTTTAAGTGAATTCAAGTTCCCTAGAGGATTCGTCCTTAATTTTTGACTAAGGGATACCTTGGTTCACAAAAGAAGATAGCGAATATAAAAAAAGAGTTAATTGAGCCAGTATGAAGAGCGACAGTCTCATTGTTCAAAGTGAGTTGAATAAGCAAGGTTTTTGGAGATTGTGATGAGAAATTAGTAGATTAACTTTTAGTTAATTCTTGTTTTCATTTTATCCTCAACAATCGATCAACTTAAAATTTAGTAGATTATCAACTTAGAGGAGTAAAAATGAGCTGAATTTGATGGGTTGGCCTTATTAGCCCACTGTAAAACATGGGTTTATTAAAATTTGGGCCCAAAATCATGTTTCCCAAATCCTAACCCACTACCCAAAATTAGAAAAAATAAAAATATTACACACACTCTACCTTCCATGGATGTTTCTCTTTTAAGAAAATAAAATTGATGATGGACTTCACCTAGTTGTGACTTTTACCTATTAAATAAAATAAAATTAAATAATTACTTAATCTATTAAATGGAAATTATGACAGTGTTATCATTAATCATTATAACAGTTTAATGTGCTAGGAAAGTGCTTATTTTATATAATTATTAAATATGTATAATTAAAAATTAGTAATATATCGCTAATGTTTTAACAAAGTGAATTTTTTGAAATACATTTTTGCCCATAGACCAGCTTGTTTGACCCGTAGTCTGCAGAGGGATGAGTTAGGTTAAATTTTTTTTACCTCAATTAAATTTGGTTGACTTGGCTCAATCCCAATATTTGGTAATTCATCATGAATTGGTTGAATTTGACATCTTTATATAGAATTAATTACTACAAATAATTTCATGTATTTTTTCTTCATAATTTTTACAATAACAAATCGGTTATTTTAGGTAATTCAAATGAAATATCGTAAAACCACTTTTAACAGAGAATATTCTAACATAAAATTTATTATATATAATTGATTTTAACAATAATCAATTATTATAGCTATAATTGATTATTGAAATAGTCCGTAAAAGCAATCCAATAAAAATACAAAAGTTTTTTATATGATTAGATCATTAGAAAAATAATCTAATTTAAACATAAGCGGCTAGTATTTAACTATTCATCGTTTACAGAAAGACTTTCAATTGCTCGCTTAGCATTTCTTAGTGTCAGTGTCAGCCCAATGGAGTGTTTTTACCAGTGGTGTTCTTTTTGATCTATATGCATTTCAGTGCCTCACCGAAAATTCCTTCTCCCCATACTATACTTGTTTTCATCACCTGTCTAGGGTTGAGTCCTAGGATTTGACTACTAACTTGAAAAGCCATCACACACACACACACGGTACTGTAAATTAGATTTACATCTAAATCTGAGTAGCAATGCTTATGCTAGAACGCTTGTACTGTGCTCAGGAGAAAATATGTTAACTACCTGTTTTGTTGATTTTGCTAAAAATGCTGTTTTTGAATTTCTTTTTAATAAATAATCAAATATAGTGTTATGTTACTTTGTTTTCTGCACATGCTTTTATATAACTGTATAAGAGTAGTTTAAATTTGTAATAGTTGTAAAATAAGAGAGTATAAATAGGTTACACTTAAGGTTAATTTTAAAATAGCTTTTTTATTATATACCAATATATCAAATGTATAAAGCAAGCTTATCAAATCAAGATTCAAAATGTGAATTGTCAACCTAACTTTTGAATGGTGAATAATATTGTTTCAAATTGTAAGATTGAGAGACATGAAAAGTTACATCAATTATATCATATTAGATAATATATAATGTTTAATGTAGTAAATTTAAACTAGGAATAGATAAAACAACTTAAACCATTAGTCTTATAAAACAAAATCGCTATTCGCTAGTGATATTTGAGTTTGTGAAACCTTTGCTTTAGAAGAATGGAAACAAAACAATGAATTTCCAAATGTAGTGCATGAATTGAATGGGTGAGTGACAAATAAAGTAGTGGATAATCAAATTGGATAAGTTCAGAAGTGCTCTTTCAATTTTTTTTTTTCCGTTTATCCATTTAAGCTTATATGGCTTTTCAAAATTTTCACGAGAATTGGTGAATGAAAGGTTAAAAAAAGAATAACGAATTTTCGATTCTTGTGATTGCTATCCAAATTGCTCAAATTCATTCATGTATTGGAAGATTCAAAGTGACTTGAGTTTTGTCTAATGATACGAATTGTTGTAAGATTCTAATAATAACTTTGGTCGAGAGACCTTTATTTTAACATTTTAACGAGTTAAGTTTTTTTTTTGGTGAATAGAGCTAATCCTTATTATAGCTGTTTTTATTTCAAGAACTGAATAAGTCATACGTTATTTCTTCTTTCATGGTGAATTAATTGTTCTGATAGATTGTTTTTGGACTGGCTACATTTTAACACGTCTTAGTTCATAAACAATCTAGTGAGTTGATGGGGTTTTATTATTACTAATTGGACTAATTTCTCATCCTTTGTTTTACACTACTGATGGAACTTTTACGGTAAAGTGCTGAAAACCCTTTGCTCAATTTGGTAACTTATTCAAGCGACTTTTACAATATTAGGGGTTCGAGCTTTCTGAAAAACACTCGAGAGGTCGGGTGCTATCACAGCAATACTTGAAGTTAGGATTTGTCTTACACCCAAGGCTGTGGCACTGGAAACTGTTGTTGAAGAAAAACGGAAGTAAAATGTTAAACATGCATGAATGAGACATTTAGAAAGGTAGACTGCGAAGAGTTTTGTTGGTGTGTCTTTGAGAAACATGTTCAAAGATGAAAAAACAAATACATGGAAAATAAGTATTTCATAACATTCTTTTATTCAGGAATTTAATGATCATACATAATCAGTAAAATCATTTACGCTGTCAACCAGTCAAAAATTACCGTTGGTAGTATGACTTTTAAGGTAGTTATTATAAAAGTGAACAAGCTTACCATACATGGTAGTTTGTTATTAAATGACAATATAAAACTGTTTTGCAATTTGCTTATTCTATTTTCTCGTTATATAATTAAGTTCAGTAATCATTGTTATTTTTATTCATTAATAAACTGTGTAGTTTAAATTGTAGCTGTATTTTTTTTTTTTATTCTTTTGCATGTTAAATATGTATCGAGTTGAGTTAGAAGAAAGGATAGATAGTTTTGATGTAAGATCAAAATTTTAAAATCATCACATCTTATGGTATTTAGTTTCTGCATCGGTATCAATCGAGTATTAAGCTATTTTCTATACCAATATACTTTTTAATATAGCAATATTCTTTATTACTACATAAAACTAAAGGTTTTACACCTCTAGTCGGGTACTTTTCTCATATTTATTTTTGTTTTGGTATTAGTATAGTGCCAAAACATATAATGATTCAAAGATTTTGTTAAGATTGGGTCTTGTCCATTAAAATTCTACGAGGGATGAAAAATACTATTCACACATACTTAATCTAATTGTTCAAGTAATAATTTTATTTAACAAAATATTTATGCATACTTACTCATTAACTTAGTAAAGGATTGTTATATGACGTGACAAGACACTATTATTGTAAAGACACTAGTAGAGAAAGAGAGATGCATGAGTTAACTATAATTGGATAATGTACAATGTGTGGCGACCCTGATATTTAAATTACTAGCCACTAGGTTAAGTTTATACAAGTGTATGGGCCAAGCCGGTATAAATGCTAAAGCCCTTTATTCTCAACAAAAACTCCTAATACTTCCCCTCAAGCTAGAGCATGGATGTTAATCATGCTTATCTTGTTACAAATAAAATCATTATGCAGCCCAATCAAATCTTTTGTATACACATCTGCTAATTGGTTGTCTGTCTTAACATAAGAGATAGATATGAGGTTCTGCTGAACCTTATCTAAATTTAGTGACTCAATGTACTTTGTTCTCTCATGAATGAATTTTAATGCTCTTGGTGCTCCTTATCCTTAATCAAATCCTATTATCTAATTGTAGTTGTGTTTAATATGTTTCCTTGAGTGTGACAATCTTGTTTGGTGACACAGATTGGTTCATAAAATATGGGTTTTACTCATGTTAAAAGCATCCTTTTGTGAAATCTTTTATTGGGCCTTAACTTGTTTGCACCCTCTTGAATTTGCCTTCACTAATAGTAATCCAGGGTTGAATGAATATGTTTATATTCATTGTATAACATGAATTTCAGAAGACAATATATGTGTTTCAGGTTGCAGCTTTTCCTTGTCTGTTTGTTGAGTCAGCTGCATTATGCATGTTTATAACTGACTGTCAACTTGGCCAAAATATTCAGATGCTTTAACTATGTGTAAATTTGGGTGTGCTTCTGAAGTTGGAGGTTTTCCTATTATCTGGCAGATAAGTTTCTGTTTCTGTTGCTTGTGTAAGATATGTGTGGAGCATGCCCATAACGTCACAGAATATATTGGTTTGTATGATTCAGGGATATCAATTCCCTCTTTATTGATAATAATACTTCATAATTCATTTTGAAGGGTCATAAGTCATGCTTATCACTCATTTACTTGAGAGGAAAACTATAATTTCTGTGACAGTATGATCTACATAATTTTGAATATGTTGTGGATTACTTATTAAAGTTATAGGCACAAGTGGTTGTGTTCTGAATTTGATTTAACTGATCACAACATATGTATTTAGAATTTATATAAAACAACACCAGGCTCAATAGTTGTTATTTTTATTCCATAAAATTTACAAAGGCAGTCATTATGTTTGATCCTTAACAGTAATTGTATGCTTCTAAATGGATAATCTCATACCATAAGTGCTTTGTACTGTTGAATGGAACAAATGTGGTTGGTGAACTACAAGATCCAACTCATAGAAGCTTGATCATTTGTAGAAGTTTTTGGCTGCTTGTCACAAAATGATAACCCTCCCCGATACTGAACAGTTTTTGCTAATGCAGCTGCAATCTGGTACAGAGATTTAATGTTTAGTTTCATATGAAGTTAAAAGTACAATTATAGACTTGATATATTATCAGTTTGAGGGAATACCCAAGTTTCATTGCTTTGGCTGATGGCTCACTGTATTGAGGCTGTGGCTGACTTAGCTGGAGACTGATAGGTGCATGTAAATCATATCCATTTCTGACCATGTAAGAAGGATTCGATGCCACATTTTCCTCATTTGTACTCCTTGCTTCATAAACCTGAGATCCAAATTTTGTTTAGGTTTAGCTAAAGGACACTTTAAGCCTTTAGCCTCTAGATGAATAGATTTAGACCTAAAAAATGAGTGAAATCTGTTTGATATGGTATTATCCCTATAAAGTGCCCGTGTATGTGCAGACTTGATCATTGTACAAGCCTTTGTTAGGCATGCATATGTATTTATGAAAAGATGAATAATAGATTCAACATAGAATGTGTTTTCTGGATCATTTACCTTCTTCTGTAACTCTGCATTTTCTTTTTGGATCTGGTCCATCTTTCGATAGAGTTCTACATTTTCTTGATGAATGAGATTTCCCTA